ACATTTCAAAGTTAGAGCTTCCATTTGAAGTAGCAAGCTAATAATAATGCTTAAACATTTATGTAGAATGTTTCATCTTTGAAATACTCTCCCAACATTGGCTATTTAATCTCTGTGACTTTCCTAAGGAGCAGGTATTACCATGTGCCATTTATTTAGATAGAAAACTGTGGAAGATATGACCAGACTTAAAGAGTCAGAGGGCTGGAGCAAAAAGTCCCTGGCCCTTTAGTCTGTGTTTCTTTGGGATATAGCTCCAATAGCTCCAAGAGAATACATCAGGTTTCAAACAGTGATATAAATAATAGCTCAGTTTACTAGCTCAGGCTTTTCCATACAGTGCTGACTAATCTGTGGCCTAGACTGTAAAAGGAATGCTGTCTCGGTCCGTTCTGTGTTACTATAACAAAATACCTGAGGATCAATTCTTTATAACAATGAAATACTTACTCATTTTTTATCTGATGGCTAGAAACTCCAAATAACATAGTGTCAGCATCTGACTAGGAGCCCTTTGGTTGTATGACAGAATGGGACAGGGAAACAAAGAGCTGTCTGCAAAAGTTGAGCATGTGTGGGTAGCCTTGTTTTACACCTGGCTCTTGTGAAACATTAAGTCCATCCTTGGAGAACTACATTAACTTCTTCCATTGGTGATGCCCTATGTCCTAACTGTCTTTCATCAGATCCTGATCTCCCAGCTCTCAGTTTTGTTACACCTGGAGACTAAGCTATGAGCACACAGACCTTTGGGGGCACACGGAAACCATATAACAAAAGAGAAAGGATCCATATCCCACTCCATTTGCACTTGCAGTGGATTGAGTCAAACATTTTCTAGTGTGAAAAGCAAAGGCAGGCTATGGCCATACCATCCTGAAAATACAAGTCTTGTCTGATCTTGGAATCTAAGCAGGGTCTAGCCTGGTTAGAACTTGGAAAGAAAAATAGCAAAAGCAAATGCTTCCTCCCTTCCTAGCTTCCATCCTCATGTGATCTGATCTTGCCTTATAGTTTTCCAAATAAGACTATGATTAGTGCATTTGAGGAATTGAACAAATGAGCTCTGCACATTAAAGCTAGAGGAACAGTAAAATAAAACTAATGAACATTTATAGTTTTGAAAATATAATTAATGTATGCTTGAGAAAATTTGAAAGATAAACATTTAAATGTTAAGATACTTATTACTTTCCCCACAGGGACAATGTGGGGGAATTAATGAGATAACAAATGCAGAGTGCTTTGAGCTCTTTAGAAGAAAGGTGCCAGATGAATACAAATGATTATTAATTGTTAAAACTATCAGATGGTTACTAATAAATTACTCATGATAGAAAGTGTATTTTCACACTTGAAAACAGGATGTTTAGAGTTCTTAGGCTGTTACAAATGAAACAACCCCCTTCTCTAGCTATTCTCTATCTTGTCAGAAGTCCCACTTTTTGATCTCACACTTGTTTCTCAAAATTACACAATGTGACTTCCCTATTTCCAAACTCCAGCACCTTCCTGGTTTATTTCCCTACCAAAGTCTCACAGATCTCACACCTCAGGGGAATTCTACTGACACTATTTTCTTTTCCCCCTAATTATTTGATCACATAACTGTGATGTCTTGTGATGATGCCAACTCACAGGCAGATTTTTTGTTATATATTTATTGTAAGTATAGGAAAAGAAAATTAAAAGTATATTAGAATAGTCATCACAAAGACAAACTACTACTTTTAAAAAGGGGAGAGCTGTGAAGTTGGGAGGATGAAATGCAATGGATAGTTGTCTTGGTCAGTGTTCTATTGCTGTGAAGAGACACCATGACCTTGGCAACTCATAAAGAAAACATTTAATTGGGGCTTGCTTATACTTTCAGAGGTTTAGTCCATTATCAGCATGACAGGAAGCATGGCAGCAAACAGGCAGATGTTGGAGCAGTAGTTGTACTATATCCTCAGCCACAGGCAGAGAGGGAGGGAGAGGTGGGTAGAGGAGAGGAGGGGAGGGAGGGAGACACTCTGGCCTTATAAGGGCTTTCAAAACCTCAAAGCTCATCCTCAATGATACACTTCCTCCAACAAGGCCATACCTCCTAATCCTTTCAAATAGTGCCACTCCACAGTGACCAAGCATTCATATCTATGCGCCTATGAGGGCCATTCTTACTCAAACTACTACAAAGTTCCAGTCAAAGCTCCATTGCTTCAGAAATTCATTGAGACTGGAGGGAACTGGGCAAGTGCTTGAGTGGTTTCCTTAATGTAACTCTATGATATTTTTATTTGTGAGTTGATTAGAATAAAGTGATTTTATTTAAAAATAAAATCTGACCTGGTGGTGGTGGCACACACCTTTAATCCCAGCACTTGGGAGGCAGAGGCAGGTGGATCTCAGTGAGTCCAAGGCTAGCCTGGTCTACAGAGCTAGTTGCAGGACAGTTAGGGCTACTGAACAGAAAACCCTGTCTCAAAAAACCAATAAAATAAAATTTGTTGGTCATGGTGGTGCATGCCTTTAATCCCAGAAGTTGGGAGACAGAGAGATAGATCTTTGTGAGTTTGAGGCCAGCCTAGTCTACATAGTGAGTTCTAGGCCAGCCAGGGCAACATAGTGAGATCCTATCTCAAAGTAAGCAAATACTTTAATTTAAAATGTGTATTTATCACTTGAAAATTTTATACATGGATAGAATATATCTTGTTCATATATACTCCAGATGCTCTTGTTCCAACCTCCCCCAGGACTGCCTTAGCATGTTGATTTTTATTATCAAGAGATGTTTAAATTAACTTGTTTTCCTATATTTTAAGCCATACACTACAACTTGTTATAGAAGAAAGCAAATGTGTTATATGACATGGAGCAAGTGAAATTAAACTTTCTACTTTATGCAGAATGTTAAAGTCAAAAGGAGCAAATCTCAAATTTATTTTCATTTAATCTAAAGCATGGGGTGAAGTACTCTTATTAAATATTGATTTTTTTTCCTTATGTAAGATGAGGATGGTAGTAATAACGACCTGCATGGGTTCGCTGGGAAGATGCAATAGAATTACAGAGCTTCTGGTCCAGCCGGTACCTAGCCCTACTAAATGTCCAGTAAATGGCGAGTGTAAGTGGCTAGTGGTCAGTGGACAGCATGGTTGTATGACCTATTGGTTTCTTAGAGTTCACATGAAATGAGCAGTATATTAAAGACACGCACCAGTAATGCTCTCCCAAGCACTTTTCCACTGCAGCTCATCATAGACAGTAGGTCTCATCTACAGAATTAGCTCTACTGTTCAGTAGAAAATGACACATCATATTCCAAACTTCCTTTTACTAATAGAGGTCAGTAAAAATTCAACAATTCATTTTATTTGACTATTTGGGATGCTTAAGACATTGTACATTCATAAGTATGTTTTCAAACTGAATTTAGTCTGCTAGCTACACAATATCTTTGTAACATATATGTCCTGAAAGATAATGGACTATCCATCCCTCTTTGCAAATTTTCTGTAATTAAAACATTTCATAATTTAATCTGGTCCTCTGGCTTCTTCCACTTAATTACTTGACGTGATTGTTTTAGTCTATGGATATTTTGCCTTTCATTTAGAAGCTGTAGGTATTTGGGCAGAGAACAGTCTATTGCTTTAGTATGGTTCTGAATCTGGAGAGAAAGCCTGAATTTGGAATCAAGTGTTTTGTGTTGCAAAATAATGATGTATGCAAAGGAGGCAAGTGGCATTGTTTGAAAAACCAATCATGTTGCTTAAAAAAAAAAAAAAAAAAAAGGTACGGGAGAGTGAGCTCCTTTGCTGTTGCCAGCAGCTCCAGGCTCAGGAGTGCTAATCACAGTCCACACTCGGAACTTCCCTGTGGCTTTAATGGTTTTGTGAGGAGGGCTTTGACCATGTGAACGATCCACTGCTGTGCTGAACAAAACGGAGACAGTTTTCTTTTAAAGTCCAGAGCAGATGAGAGCCATAAGGAGACAGAGGGTTTCATTTACTCTCAGGACTTGATTGTGCCAGTGAACTAATGAGTCTCCTGGACCTTATGTTGCTCTGGCTTCAATATAAGAGCGACTCTAATGGGCATGTAGCACTTCCTATCCGTCAAGTGTCTGGACAATAGGCCCCTCGTATGGATTAGAGAGATCTGGCAAGAAAAAGAGGTCATCACTGTACCTAGCACAGACAAGAAACCTGGCTAATTAATATATTTCCTATGATGGCTAAACAAAGGCAGACACATGGAGAAATGTTAATTTTATTGCAGAAACTCTTAGCCTGTGGCTGAAGCACATGTTTAAAATGATTGTAATTCCACGGGTGAAACATACCTCTCCTTTCCCAAGTCTATATGTTTTTATAGATGTCAAGATTGTTCTTTAAAACTGTATGTGACTTTGGTATTGCACCTTGCCTATTTTACCCTTCGGGAAAGCTGGAAGATGTAGAAATGTTTTTAGACAATTATGAAGCAAATGCTGAGTGTTCATGGCAGCACTGATGAACTTCAGCCATTTGCCCTGTAAAAGGTACACTTGAATTCAGCTTGTAAAAATCCTAATGTTGTGTCATGCAGAAAGCTTGCAAGAGGGATTTTCAGTCAAGCTAGGGGCTCTAGTTACACCATTTTAAACCAAGAGCAGATACTGCCACCTAGACACATTCCGATGCCGTAGTTAACTTCATGTCGGCTTTTCTTACTCTGAAATCGAGAACAAGTAAGTACTTGGTACAATGTAAACAGTGCATGATAAAGAATCATTTGAAAACTGATTTAATTTTTTGGGGAGCGGGGTAGAAAACACTTATGTCTTGACAAGTAGTGATAGCTAGGATTTATTCATTGTTTTAAATACAGAAACTAAGCGACTCCTGAAAGAATAGGAGTGTCACAGTACTGACATCATGGAGAAGTAGGTGTAGGAGTGAGTGAAAGGCTTTCTTAGGAGTGAGTGAAAGGCTTCCTTCTCCTTTTCTTTTCTGAGGCCGCTGTTTGGTTACTTTGGGAGGAGGAAGGGTTTACTTAGCACTCACAAGTGGAAACACCAGTAGGTTTGTTTAATGAATAAATGACATCACATAATAAGATTTTAAAGACTATTACATTACAATCTTTTCTGACTTCCCTCTTGGCAAATAAAAGAAACTAACTTCTCCACCTTTATAGCAATATCAAAGGAAATACTGTTCCTTCTTTCTTTCTCTAGACAGGCATCCAGTCATGGTGATGAGTGTATCTCAACAGGCTCATACAGGCTATCTTCCTTGTCTTTGGACTGTTTTTCTCCTTCAAATCTCATTTTATTTTCTTCTGTTACTCCTAAAATGGTTTCAATATCATCAATGGTAGTCTGTGAATAACAGCAAAAAAATTATTAAAGATTTCTTATAATATCCACTCCTCAAGTTTTTATCCCTTCAGTGTGGTTTAGATCAATTCTACTCAAAATGTATTCCACTCACTGGCATCCATCCACACATTACTGGTTATTAGACTTGATTGTGTGAATTTAAAAGAATGAGCTAGAAGCCAGGCGGTGGTGGCACGTGCCTTTAATCCTAGCACTTGGGAAGCAGAGGCAGGTGGATCTCTATGAGCTAGAGGCCATCTTCGTCTGCAGAGTGAGTTCCAGGACATCCAGGGCAACACAGAAAAAAACCCTGTCTTGAAAAACAAAACAAAAGAAACAAAGAAGAGATAGAACTCAAAATTTTATATCCTAGAATTTTTATATCCATTAAATCTAACAGTGAAAAAATGAGATTTTATTTTGCACATCTTCAGTTTTCTTTTTATTTCATTCTTCTAGTCAACTTGGTATACCAGATAAAAACATTAATCCATGATAGGTCAGAAAAAATTTAAAAAATAACAGTCTAAGACACTTTAAAAAGCAGGCTAGTAAGTTGAAAGATTATTTTTATTGTTTTCTGGGAATAAAACTGACACCTCCCTGTTTTCCTTTATGTGTATTAAGGAATTGTTTACATATTTTATGAGACATTTCTTTATAGTATAGAATTCAGTAGGCAAATATGTGTAATTTCATAGCGTCTTTATTATCCCATATTGGAACCTTGTACCCATTAGCACTTGTCTCTCTTTCTTCCCTTTCCCCAGCTCTGACAACCACTGACCCACCTCCTGTCTATGCTCACTTCATACAGGACTTACCTTTCTGTGATTGGTTTCTTTCACTTAGCACAACATCTTCAACATTCATCCATGTTGTGGTATATGTTCTGTCAACAGATCACTCCTTTTATGGCTGAACAATATTCCACAGTATTCCATTATATGAATATTATTTATAAACTATAATGGAATTTACTATTTTCTCACTGACATACAGTTGGGTTATTTATTCTTTTTAGTTATTATGAATCATGCTTCAGTGAATCTTAATGTACAAATACATATTTTTGATAATTTGGTGTTTATATCTAAGACTAGAATTATTGGGTCATATGTTAATTTTATATTTAATTTATTAAGGAGTTACCAAACTCTTTTACAATAATATGTGAAGGTTCCATTTCCCATTTTCCCCAAATCTTTGCAAATGTGTGTTATCTCCTTTCTTTTTGATTGTAGCCATTTTAACTAGGTATGGTCTTGGTTTGCATTTCATTAGTGACTTAACGATGTTTAACATTTATTCAGACATTGGCCATTTGTATATCTACTTTGAAGACATATCTATTCAAATTGTTTGCTTGCATTTTAACCGGATTATTTGCATTTCTATTATTGTGTTATAAAGGTATTTTTATAAACCCTGGGTACTATAGGCTTCTCAAATATATACTTTGCAAATGTTTTAACATATTCTATGTTTTATTTGATAAAATCCAAATAATTTGTTTTTACTTTGATCACTTTTGCTTTAGGCATCACAGCTAATAAATTATGGCTAATCCAAAGTCATGAAGTCTTATACTTGTATTTCCTCCTATGCATTTGATAGTTTTAACTCTTATATTTTGGCTGTTGATCCATCTTATGTACTTTTGGAAAGGGTACCTTGGAGAAGTCCAACCTTATTACTTGTAGGTTTTTTGTTTCAACACTTTATATTAAAAAGATTATTTTTATTTTTTCTTCCACTGAATTGTTTTACTGCCTTTTTAGAAATCAACTGGTTATACAGTATGAGTTTATTTTTGTTATTCCCATTTCCTCCTATTATACATACTTATATATGTAGTCTCCTTAGCTCACAGCTTTGGAGGCTGGCAGTCCAAGATTGGGTATTACTATCAATACAGCCTCTGACCCCTTAGCTACATCACCGCATAGCAGATGGCACTCTACTCAACAGGAAGAAATCTCGTGGTGTGGTGAGTCAGGAAGGCCAGAAAGTGAGAAGAGGCCAATCTTGTTTTCTTGCAAGAACTAAATAGTATTCTATGAGAATTATTTCAGTCTCTTCCAAATGAGATTTAGTCAATGAATTGCCCACTAGCTTCATCTCTTAAAGTTCCACCACCTCTCATATCATATCACTGGGAAACTGGAGACCAAGCTTCCAGCACAGGAACCACACTCAAACTGTATCCAAACCATTGCAGATCCCTTGGTAACTGCAAATAGTGATGCAGCGGCGAGCCTTTGTGGAGAGACACATTCTTGGGCCTCACTACTCCAAACCAAAGATTCTGATTTTGTTAATTTGGGTAGAGCCCAGGAATCTGTTCTTAGGAAGAACCAAGAATCTAGCATGGACTCTAGTAATGAAACACAAATTACTTTTCAAAAATTACTGACTCTAAAGTTCAAGTTGACTTTGACTATTACTTGGTTTCTTTAAAAAAAAAAAAAGGATACTAGTGATCAGCAGCTAGAAGGGGTGGGGCTGTCCTTGGACTATATGACTGCAGCACAAAATGCTGAGAAGCTCCAGTTTAGTTTAACTTGTTCATTTCAGATAAAGTAAAATTATCATTATTTTATTAGTTTATTTTTAAAATCTTCTCAGTCATGATGTGCGAAAACCAATGGTCAGTCTGTTAGGTCTTAAAACACTTTGAAGAGTGAAACATTGTTATTAAAGGGGTTAAACCCTAGCTTGAGTTTTAAAAAAGAGATTAATCTTTTATATGAAGCTTGAGTTTTTCTCTTTAATAGAAAAATGACATTTCCATTTGAATCCTTAGAATTATGTGATCTTAGCAGTACTCAAGTACTGCTAAGGCCTAGTCTGGGAGTCAGATTAGAAACTTGCTTATCAGGACCACACCATCAGCTCTTTTCAGGAGTTGTCTCCTGCATCCTAGAACTCGGAAGAGACTTTGGATCTTTAGAGACCATATGGAGGTTTAAAAACGTTAGTGGTGAAGGTCCACCTCACTTTGGAGAAATGGAGTGGGTGGATGGCTCACGCAGGTGCTTGAATTTTTCTTCTGCTTCTCTTTAACAAACACTGTTCTTCTTGGGTCTGAGTACTTACCTGGCTCTATAAACTAGGCTCCCCAGGAATCACTTCAGCTAGACATGTATTATGTGAAGTACAGATAGGTACATCACAAATTAGTTACAGTCTTGATTTTGGTTCCATTGTGACGTCTCAGCTTCACCTCCAACATCAGAGAGCTGTGTTGTCTTATGAGCCTGGCTCTCAAAATGGCAGGGAGTTAAATCAAGTCTACTATATTTCAAAGAAAAAGTTTCAAACTATTAAATTTAACTAACGGGTTCAATGGGAACCTTACAAAGTTGACCCTGCTCACTATAAAATGTGTACTGCTTACAAGAAGAAAAAAAAGATGGTTTAGCACTTGTTTACAATACAGCATGAGGTATTTTCAGCCCTTGTATAGAAATTAACCAGGATCGTTAGTTAATTAACACCTCACCTTAAAATTGGTCTCGCCTTGCATATTAGGTGCTGATATTTCTTGATGGATGATGAAGAGATTGCGAGCAAAGGTCATGAGGACCCCCTGGAGATCCACACCGATTGTTCTGTTAATGATATCCAAACAAATGAGTTTACCAGCGATTCTCCTCACATGCTTACAAACAATCGCCCTCTCATCTGTACGCTGCTGATGGAATTTAATGAGTATTTTCAATCTCACAAGGTGGCAATCTTCAGGGAGATATGAAAGATGAGACTCCATTTTAACTTGTCAACAGAAAGGATTTGTGTAATAAATATTTTTTATTAATCAACTTAGCAGAATATAGCAGTAGGCTCAGTCGTTTCTAGGAAAAGGCACTCCTAAACTAGGACAGCAGTGCTGATTCTGAAAAGCATCCTTGCTGAGTGTCATTCGTGTCCAACGATTTTCTTATCTGTGGAGACATTTGCATCTCTGGTTTCCAGAGGCTTGTCTGAGTTTCATTTTCAATTTTATGTGAACAAGTATTTTCTGCTACTTAAGAGTAACTCGTGCTCAAAGACACGTCTCCATTCGTGAACAGCTACTGTTACTCTCTACCAATTATACTGTATCCAGAGAACATGTCAAATGAGTAGATTATTAACATGAAAAAAATCCAGAAAACTTTCTATTTTTGTTAAAACCTTATCAAAGGGAAAAGCAAAAAATGTTAAGTATTGGGTTGGTGTTATTATTATTTTAGATAAGGTCACATTATGCAGTTCTGGATGAACTAGAACTCACAAAGATCTGCCTGCCATGTACTGGATTAAAGGCAAGATGTCTAGCATGAGTGGATTAATTTTGAATAAACATCACTTCTTAAGGGAGATAACATTAAAGAGAAGGGAGATGCCCCTTAAGTCAGCTGCAAGAATGAAGACAAAACTGATGACTTCTACAAAGCTTCCTGGTTCCTAAAAATGGAGTTCAGTTTTTGTTCATTTGTTTTTTGTTTGGTGCTTTTTTTTTTTGTCTTGCCACTGGCTAACTTTGTGGAAGCTACTTAACTCTGAGTCTTCATTTCATTTTTCTACAATGAATGACTTGGACTAAATCAGTGAGTCTGAGCTTTTTGAGTTACATTCCCCAAATCCAAGGACAAGCCCACCCCTTCGATGGACAACCGTTAGTATCACTGACTAAGAAAATGAATACGCTGCTAGTGGTGCTGCACACCTTTAATTCTAGCCCTTGGGAGGCCCTAGCCTTCTCTAGTTCATGATTGCAGTAAGGGATGAGGAAAGGAGGGCATACAGCATAGTAGGAAAGGCAGTAGAACCTAAGTCCATTTCAGTGGTGCCTTTTCTGTAGAATGTGAGTAGCAATGACTTCCTAGGAAGTACGCTGATAGGACCATTTCTGCTGCTGAAGCTGGGATGCGAGTGAAGGTGTAGGGACAGGTGGGTAGTTCCACTTGGCTTCCAGTATGATTATTTTTTTTTCTGTGGGCCTCAGTATCAAATCTACCTTGCTGATATGTCAGCTTGATGACTGGGTGCTTATTCATGAAAGTCCCATATAGCTCTTAAATTCTGTAGTGGTTTTCCTCTTGCCTGGTACTTGTAGCCTAGGGACCCACCTGCATAAATCTTCCTGTGTTCCATTTGCCAGAGCTTTGCCTAGGCCCTATTAATACTTCCCTATGACACTCTGTCAGTTTTGGGACACAGATCCTGCTCCTGTCACTGGGCCCCGCTACTTGCTGACAAGCTTTCTTCATGCGAGCTCCCTACTGATATGCATTTCCCGAAGTGTAATTTTTTTAAAGATCCTATGGTCAGCTTCCCTCTTCATGACTTTCAGGCTGTCTGTCTACTCTTTGCAGTTGAAAGTTTGCTAGTGGTGCGAGTTTGTTGCTGCAGATAACCTGCTCTATTCACCCGAGTCCTAGATCTGGATTTGGCTCCCCTGCCTGGCTCCTCCACCTCATTCCATGTGCATGACGGTTTATGTAGTTGCAGCCCTAAGGCAGCTTGTCCTTAGTAGTTCATCTTTTATGCCAACTGGTGGGCAGTTAGAGTCCACATATCTGTATTTTGATTTCTAGTTCTTGTAATGAACACATGCTTTCACTTGAGTTCCTGAGCTTAAAAATGTACTTGGAGCTTACATCTTTCCCCTCTAATTCGACTCCTGGAAAATACTTAATTTTTTATTAGATCGCCAACACTAAATCCAGTTGGCTGCTTTGTTCTCCTAATCCCAGTTGCTTTTGTTACCTTTTGCTTTGGTCTTGCTACTGCCCTAGCATCACAATGGCACATCTGAAGAGTGTAGACATCTAGGCTAGGAGCTCAGAGCAAGGAGGGAGCTGAGGGATAGGATATCACTGGGAAGTAGAAGGGAGCTCCTTTCTTACTCCCTGTTATTCTTTTCATGTAAATACCTGGACAGATTAAATGAACACATGTTTGTGTAGATGTTACAGATAGAGGTCTCATTTCTGGTATCACAGGAGTAGGTTAAACTGTAGCCACATTCTAGCTCCAAAGGGGAAGAAATAGCACATCCATGGATGTAAAAGCAACAATAGGGGTGAATGACTATCATCAGCACTCTGCTCAGCATACACATTCCCTGAGAAGACTGCATCTGAACCAAACTGGCGCCAGCCCTACTTTGGAAGAGCATCTGCCCAGGTCACCAGAGAACTTTTCTAACTGTCCCAGAGTGATATCTAGCTCTTCACAATTGGGCCATCTGAGCTGGTCCCTATCAATAATATTTGAGCCTTGTATGTGTATGAGTTTATGTTAAGCATAGACTCCTACCTGATAATTGGAATAACTATATTTAGGAGCCTGACACTTTGTGCTGGAAGATCGAAATAAAACATGATAAATCAGCATGCTTATTAAAATTCAAGAGAAGTACCAATCTTGTAGATGTTATAGACATTTTTTAGCTTATTACATATCATAGACATACTTCGTACTTACAACATGCCCAACTTGTATCTCTTCAGAGGTTCATATAATATAAAAACAGTTCCTTGTCTGTCCTATAAGGTTCAGTGAGAAGAAAACAAACAGCATATTTATATAGGAAGCAAAGACAATATAATCTACCATGGGCAATAAGAAAGACCAGAATTGAAGTCTAGTGCTACCTTCAAGTACCATTTAAGGGGCTTGTCTCCAGAACAGGGAGGCAGTATGCTCTAGGGTGGTGCTTTTATTTAGTATGTTCTTTACAACACATTGACCAGAATCATTTATTGCACCTGTTAAGATGATCTTCATGGGCATCATCCAAATTTAGAATCCTTGGGCTTTGCCTTTTAATTCCTTCTTGGGTGATTATTATATCAAAAGCTAGAACCACTGTTATAAGAGCAGTCCATAAAAAAAGAAAAAGAGGTGTGTGTTCGAAAAGAATTTGAGGGTGAGAGAGATAGCTCAAGTGGTTTAGTTAAAGATCCTTACAAGCATGAGAATGAGAGCTTGGTACCAAGAAATCACACATTATAAAAGCTGGTTGAAGGGGCACACATGGCCTTAGCCCTGGGAGGTGAAAACAAGTCATCCCTGGGACTTGTTGGCCAGCCAGCCTAGCCTAATTGGTGAGTTCCAGTTTAGTGAGACACTGGAGAATGACAGGCAAGGTTGTCCCTCTGACCTTCACATGCATATACCCACAAATGTACATGTACCTGTATGTACATACTTGAACATGTACACACATATATACAAACAAAAGAATTTGAGTTTCAGTGGGAAATCACATGTAGCATATCCTAATACCTTATGGCATAGATTTCATAAGACATTTTATAGCTCTGTAAGTGATGGCTCTAAATACTATCTTTGCTGATTTGAAGAATGGTCCCCTTAGGTTATATGTTTGAATGCTTGGTTCCAAGTTGGCAGGCCTGTTTGGGGAAGAATTAGGAGGTGTGGCCTTGTTGGAGGAGTATGTTACTAGGGATGGAATTTGAGGTTTAAAAGCCCACATCAGGACAAGATACACACCTGCCCTCCATCTCTTCCTCCCTCAATCCCTCCTTCTCTCTCTCCCGTCACTGCTCTCCCCCACCCCTGTCCTGACCTCCTGCTTGTGGATCAGATATAAGCTTTCTGCTACTGCTTCTAGCACCATGACTGCTCACTGCCATGTTCCCCACCACAGTGGTCATGAACTCGCCCTCAAATTGTAAGCAAGCCACCAATTAAATGTTTTCTTTTGTAAGTGTAGCCTTGGACATGGGTTCTCTTCATAGCAATAGAACAGTAACTAAGACAGAAGTTGGTACCAGGGAGTGATGTATTGCTGTGACAGACCTGATCATGTGAGTTGTTGAAAGAATATGGACTTTGGGACTTAGGAAAATGGTTGAATGCTATAAATAGGGATTTACAGCTTTCTTAATAAGAACTTGGAAGACAGTAGTGGGGAGAGCAATGTAAAACTTCCAGCTTAAGACGTTTCAAGAGAGAACAATATTAGCAGCTAGGCTAGAGACCATTCTTGTGACTTTTGGTAAAAAACATCACTCTTTTTCCTGCCCTTGTCAAAAAAAAATGTTGGAGGCTAAACTGAAGAGATTTGGACTAATATCACTGGCAAAGGACATTTCAAGACATTCTAATATTCACTGTGTCATCTGGTTATTAGTGATTACTCTTATGCAGATCTACAATGAAAAAGAGCAAATAGGGTGAAGAGAAATACAAACTGTGCCATTTGAAGAGAAAAAGAACACTAGGAAATTTAATGTTAGAACCCTGGTTTCTGCTGAAAGAGATGAGAAGAAATGGAATAAAGGGAGTGGTGCCCTCAGGGTAAGACATCACCTAGCTAAGCTTCCAATTTAAGAAAAGGAAATGCCTAAGGAATCTTCTTCTAAGCAAAAGGAAGTTTATTTAACAAAGAGAAGCATCAACAGATCAACTCTTATGCCAGTGTAATTCAAGGAAGGGGCCAAGTTTTATCCCAAACAAGCAGATAACTTGGCAGCATCAGTCTCATGGTTCGGTGCTGGTTTTAGAGTCAAGAAGGATATAGGAGTAGAGGGGATGTAAAATATTCCTCCAAGGCTAAGGAAAGCTACCGAGGCAAAGTGTGGTGGCAGAGGAGTCTCTGGGTAGATGCCCAAGAGGCCATCCCATGAAACTGTGAAAGTGAAGCTAGACTTGGGTTGGAGACTCCAAGATATTGAAGATGCCAGAGCCATGGGTGTCTGTTGAGGAGAATTACAAACTAGGAGCAGAATAAGCCCATGAGAGAAATGTATTTTCAACAAAGCTGAAATCCAAAGAGCCATTTAATCCTTTTGACATTCAACATAGAACTACAAGATTTGAAATTTGTCCTTCTAGTTTTCAGTCTTCTTTGGTTCAGTATTTCCTCCCGATGCCCCCTTTCTTTTCTTTTGGAATGATAATATATATTTTGTGCCATCATATGTTATAAGTATATAATTTGCTTTTCGATTTTATAAGGGGATAATTTGATTTTATAAGAGAGTGTGTTGAGTCTCAGAAAGGACTTTGCACTTTTAAATAGTCTTAAGACTGTTAAATACTTTGGGGGCTCTGGAAGTGGACTGAATGGATTTTGTATTATGATATGGCTGTAAGTTTATGGGGTCCAGAGAGTGGAATGTGATGGTTTGAATGAAATTGCCTTCTATAAGCTGACAAGTTTGAACACTTGGTTTCAGTTGGTAGAATTGTTTTGGGAAGGATTAGGAATGTGGTTTGTTGGAGGTTTGTCACAGGGGCGGGCTTTAAGATTTCAAAAGCCCACACCAGGCCCCGTCTCTCTGTCTTTCTGTCCAGTTTGTGGATCAGATAATAAGCTCTCAGCTACTACTTTTACCACCATGTCTGCTTGTCCATTGCCATGCTCCCCACCATGACAGTCATGGACTCATCCTCTGAAACTGTAAGCAAACCCACAATTAAATGCTTTCTATAATGCCTTGGTTATGGCATCTCTTCACAGAGATAGAACAGTAATTAAGACAAATTTAGTTTAAATTAAAGTTGTTTTTAAAGACTTCAACATTCAAAAGTTTAGTGCAGAACTTGAGGGATAGATGGCTCAGTGGTTAAGAGTGCATACTGCTCTTGCAGGAAACCTTGGTTCTGTAACTAGCATTTACTTCAGTCAGCTCTTAACTGTCTATAACTCCTATAACAGTTATCCTCTGGCCTGTGAGGGCACCTACACTGGGAATATACCCCCCAACACACACCAAGAACATGCCCATATTGATGGAGGAAGGTCATTGGTTAAAAAATAAAGAAACTGCCTTGGCCCATTTTATTGGTTAGAACATAGGTGGGTGGAGTAACCAGAACAGAATGCTGGGAGGAAGAGGAAGTGAGCGCAGAGACGCCATGCTCCCCTCTCCCGGGCAGACGTGATAGCTCTGCTCTCTGAGGCAGACCCGATCAAGCTCCGGCCCAGGATGGACGTAGGCTAGAATCTTCCTGGTAAGCGCACCTCCGTGCTACACACTTTATTAGAAATGGGCTAGTCCAGGTGTGAGAGTTAGCCAAGAAGAGGCTAGATATAATGGGCCAAGCAGTGTTTAAAAGAATACAATTTGTGTGTTGTTATTTCAGGGCATAAGCTAGCAGGCGGCCCCACCGCTCCTATTACAACACCCATATATAGACACAAACACACATACACAAAATTACTGCACTCACAGGAACATGTCCAAATATACACAGACACACATGTACATAATTAGAAGTAAATTCAAGGACCCATCTTAGCTCTTGCCTACCAGCTCTCTCAGCCTTCTTTTCTAGCCCATCCTCATTCCTTTCTGTCATCCACTGGCCTGTCGCAGAAACACTCTCTACCAAGGATTACACAGTGTAGCCACTATATTTTTCTTGGATCAAGAGATAGCAACAATAACCAAAAAATAGAACATCCACCCAACAAGACCAGATATAGGCATCAAGAAACACCTTAAACATGATAATTCCAGATGCAAAAACACAAACATGAACAGCTAAGACAATATGCCTTCTCCAAAAGTCTTTAACCCCACCACGGTACACCCAAGAATGCAATATTGCTAAAGAACAAGACAAGGACTTCAAGATAGCAATTATAAATATATTCAAGGACCTCAAAGGGAATGTGAATAAATCCTTTAATGAAGTCTGTGAAAACACAGTTAAATGAAATAAAACAGAGAAATAGAATCATTAAAGAAAACCCAAACTGAAATAAAACTAGAAATGAAAATTGTAGAATGTCAAACAAAAAGCTCAGAGGTAAGCCTTGCCAACAGACTACAAGACATAGAAGAAAGAATCCAAGATATTGAAATCAAGGTAAAAGAAATGGATATTGCTCTGTCAAAAAAAGGTTAAACTTAAAAAACAATCTAGGCACAAGGCATCCAGGAAATCTGGGACACTATGAAATAACAAAAATTTATGAATAATAAGGATAGAGGAAGGAGAAGAAATCCAGTTCAAAGGCATTGAAAGTATTTTTAACAGTATCACAGAAAATTTCACTAGTCTAGAGAAGGAGTTACCTATTAAGGTAAAAGAAGTATACAGAACACCAAAATGACAGGACCAGAAAAGAGATTCTCCACAATACATAATTATCAAAACACTAAATGTAGCTTCAAAGAAAAAAGACCAAGGTAACATGTAAAGGCAGGCCCATTAGATAGCATCTTACTTCTTAGTGGAGACTCTGACAACCAGAATGTTTGTACAGGCATTCTACAAACTAGAAGAAACCACAGATGTCAGTCCATACCACTATTCCCTGAAAAAATGTCAATCACAATTGATAGAGAAAGAAAAGAATTTCACAATAAAACCAAATTTTAACAGTTTTTAATCTACCAATCCAGCTCTACAGAAAGAAGTAGAAGGAAACCTTCAGTTTGAAGAGGTTAACTACACTCAAGAGGACACAAGGAATAAATATACCCAGAACCGTAATCCAAAAGAAAGGGGGAAAACAAAATAATAGAAATGAATAAAAACTGTTCACTGAGAACTCTCAGTATCA